TGTAATCCCAGCACTTTGGGAGGCCGAGGTGGGCGGATCACCTAAGGTCAGGAGCTTGAAACCATCCTAGCCAACATTGTGAAACCCCATCTCTACTAAAAATACAAAAACATGAGCTGGGCATGGTGGCACATGCCTGTAGTCTCAGCTACTTGGGAGGCTGAGGCAGAAGAATCGCTTGAACCCAGGAGGTGGAGGCTGCAGTGAGCCCAGATCACACCGCTGCACTCCAGCCTGGTGACAGAGTGAGACTGCATCTCAAAAAAACAAAAAAACAAAACAAAACAATTAGCTGGGGGTAGTGGTGGGCGCCTGTAATACCAGCTACTCAGGAGGCTGAGGCAGGAAAATCACTTGAACCCCAGAGGTGAGGTTGCAGTGAGCTGAGATCATGCCACTGCACTTCAACCTGGGCAACAAAAATGAAACTCCATTTCACATAAATAAATAACAGAAACACACCCTTTCTTATCTGTTCTGCATACTTAAATAAAAGAAACGGCTGGGCGCAGTGGCTCAAGCCTATAATCCCAGCACTTTGGGAGGCCGAGACAGGCGGATCACGAGGTCAGGAGATCGAGACCATCCTGGCTAACACAGTGAAATCCCGTCTCTACTAAAAAATACGAAAAAACTAGCCGGGCGAGGTGGTGGGCACCTGTAGTCCCAGCTACTCGGGAGGCTGAGGCAGGAGAATGGCATAAACCCGGGAGGCGGGGCTTGCAGTGAGCCGAGATCCAGCCACTGCACTCCAGCCTGGGCAACAGAGCAAGACTCCGTCAAAAAAAACAAATAAATAAAAATAAAAAGTAAAAGAAACACACCCAAAAGTATTACAAATAAAGAAGATGGGGGAGGAAAATAAAATATTTAGCTTATTAATAAAAGAATGGGCCTATTTGAATAGTACAAACGCTAAAATAAAAATTCTTCAATGTGTATAGCTTGCCTTTTAAGTCTGTAGCCATTTAAATTATAAGAATTTCATCACTTGCCGGTCAGGTGCGGTAACTCATGCCTGTAATCCCAGCACATTGGGAGGCTGAGGTGGGCGGCTCACGAGGTCAAGAGATCGAGACCATCCTGGCCAACATGGTGAAACCTCGTCTCTACTAAAAATACACAAATTAGCCGAGCATGGTGGCGCACACCTGTAGTCCCAGCTACTCAGGAGGCTGAGGCAGGTGAATTGCTTGAACCCAGGAGGCGGAGGTTGTAGTGAGCCGAGATTGTGCCACTGCACTCCAGCCTGGCGACAGAGTGAAACTCTGTCTCAAAAAAAATTAAAAATAAAAAATTTCATCACTTGCCAAGCCTGGTGGCTCATGCCTGTAATACCAGCACTTTGTGAGACTGAGGCAGGAGGATTTCTTGAGTCCAAAAGATTGAGGCTGCATGAGCTGTGATTGGGCCACTACCCTCTAGCCTGGGCAACAGAGCAAGACCCTATTCAACAACAACAAAAAAAGGAATTAGGTGATGGGAAATGCCTACTATTTGAATCTATAAAGATAAGCAAGGCAAGGTGCAGTGGCTCATGCCTATAATGCCAACATTTTGGGAGGCTGAGACAGGAGGATCGCTTGAGCTCCAGAGTTCAAAACCACCCTGGGCAACATAGTGAAACCTAGTCTCTACAAAAATAAACAAATTTAGCTGGGTGTGGTGGTGCGTGCCTGTAGTCTCAGCTACATGGGAGGCTGAGGTGGGAGGATCGTGTGAGCTCAGGCAGTTGAGGCTGCAATGAGCCATGATTACGCCACTGCACTGCAGCCTAGGCGACAGCAAAACCTGTCTCAAAAAAAAAAAAAAAAAAAAAAAAAGATAAGCAAGAGTTACTCATGATGCTTGAACTTGGGGGAAGATGCCAACTCCGGCACATGTCAGTTACTACATAAAAAGTCAAGTACAGTGTCAAATCCAAAGCATCAAGAGGAAAAAAAGTTCAGTTCCCAAGAGAACATGGATAGCTTAACAATGTAAAACTTGGCTGGGCACAGTGGCTCACACCTGTAATCCCAGCACTTTGGGAGGCCGAGGCGGGTGGATCACGAGGTTAGGAGATCGAGACCATCCTGGCTAACATGGTGAAACCCCGTCTCTACTAAAAATACAAAAAATTAGCCAGGCGTGCCTGTAGTCCCAGC